TTCCCTAGATCGGCTCAGTTGGTTATTGTTGTGACGTTAGTTCTGTGATGGATTCAGAAAAGTTAAGATTTTGTAGCTTGTCTATAGCTTTTTCTTGCTGTCGGGGTGGAAGAGATGCTCTTTCCTGGTTTCTAGCCCCTGGGGGAAAGCCGTTAACAAAACGATATAATAATACGTCTTGTCTTAAGTAATATAATAACGACCTTAATGGTAGAATGACATGGGGATCACAGCTAGATTGGTCAGTGCAGTCACGAGACTCTGCCAGATTGAGGTTGTGTTCTTCTGAGGGTCCCGGGGAGGGGCCCCCGCTGCCTCTGATGAAGAGGCAGTGCTTGGAAGCAGAGAGCAGTGACTGTTTGGCAACAGGAACAAGGGCTTGGACACTGGGGTTGGAAGAGGAAGAGAAGAACAGAAGAGGGGCCTCCCTGGCGGTCCAGTGGTTAAGACTCTGCGCTTCCAATGCAGGGGGTGCAGGTTTGATCCCTGGCCAGGGAACTAAGATCCCACGTGGCACATGGTGCGGCCAAAAAAAAGGGAATCAGAAGAGAGCTGTGGGTCCCGAAGGCCCCCTGCTGCAGGGGGAGGAGCCAGGTTCCGTTCTGGACTTTGGACGTGGATGTGCTGGGGGCCCCTCCAGATGAAGCAGCCTGGCTTCAGGCAGACACCCACCTGAGCCCTGGAGAGCAGTGTGGGTGGGGAAGCCAGGATGTCCCCGTGTCGGGGGCAGCTGAAGCTCGGGGTGGGGCCCCAGCCTCTACACTACTGTGGGGGCCCCTCACCCTCAGTGTGACTTCTTTAAGGAGCCCTGGGTAAGTCTCCCTAGCCCTGGTCCTGCCTCTTCCAAAATGACCCTCTGAGGAGGGTTTGCTGCAGTCGGGCTGCCTCCATCCTTTTTTTTTTTTTTAATGTTTTTTGGGATTTTTTAAAATAAATTTATATTTTTGTTGTTTTTTTTGTGTGTGTGGTATGCAGGCCTCTCACTGTTGTGGCCTCTCCCGTTGCGGAGCACAGGCTCCAGACGCACAGGCTTAGCGGCCATGGCTCACAGGCCCAGCCACTCCGTGGCATGTGGGATCTTCCTGGACCGGGGCACGAACCCGTGTCCCCTGCATTGGCAGGCGGGCTCTCAACCACTGCGCCACCCAGGAAGCCCCTGCCTCCATCCTTTTGCAAGAAGTATTAGCATTTGATGTCTAAGTCCCTCCAAGGTAACCATTTCCTGGATGTCACAAGACATCACAGGTCAAATCAAGCACATGTTGACCCCGTTGGCACAAATCTCTTTGCAAACACTTCAGTCAAAGTCTATCTTAGAAGCTACCTTGCTTGGTGGAGGGACTGCTTGGGTTCCGAGCCCATTATTTTCCAAGGGTCCTGGTTGGGGTTTGAGGGAGCCCATTGCACAGCACCTGTCTTCTCAAACCAAGTTCTGAGTGAATTAAAAAGTAAAGCTTATATCTCAATAATGCTGTTACCACCAAAAAAGAAAGAAAAGAAAAGCTGATGGGACTTGAAAATATTCTTACTACAGAAAAAGCCGTTCGGTGACAACATGCCTGGTTGCCATTCAGTATGCTTCCTAATCAGAAACTCCAGAAAAACCTTTAACCCCCAGATTCAGGCAGGGAGGGGCTTCTGGGTCTTCTGTCCCCTGGTGACATCAGTTCAGCAGCTCTGTCTCCGAGATTTAAAAAAATGTCCTTGGCACCCCCTGCTCCGCCCACTCAGCCTACAGAGCCCCTGACCCGACTGTAGAAACATCCCCTGACGTTCTCTGCCACCCTCACTGACGCCTGAAAGCCCTGTCTTGTCCCCCAGGGAGCAGTCTGCCAGACACGCACGCAGTGCTCACGCATCTCCCTAGCAGTCCCCTTCCCACCCACCATGGTCCTAGGTGTGGTCCTGCCTCGATTCCACCTCCGATGGCCTCTGGACACTCCAGGGAGGGCGGGGCTGGGGTGGCAGTGGGCTCTGACCTCGTGTGCCCCTCACAGGGGCCCTCGGACAGGAGCCGGCCTTCTCTCCAGCCACACGGTCGGCCTGGGCACCTTTTGTGTCACCTGCTGGTGGCTTCTCAGCCACAGGCATTCAGGGGCCTCCCTGCTCCAGTGAAGCGCCTTCAGGGCGGCAATTGCTCTGCAGTTTCAAGTGCGTTTAACACACTCACTTGGGTTCTGTTGTTTCAGGATGTGAAAACACGGAGCGGGACCAGAGCAGAGCCTTGAGTCTGAGGCCGCTCACTTCACAGGAAGCACCGACAGCTCTGAGGAAAACGCCGGCCGAGTGGAGCGACCAGGGAAGCTGCGAGCCCGAGGAGAGCTTCTGTCTGAGTCCCAGCCACGCCGGCCCCGCTGAAGGCCGGGCCTTGAGTCAGGGCATGCCTGTCGCTCAGCGACCAGCTGTTCCTGGCGGGGAGAGACCCTACCGGTGCGTGGAGTGCGGGAAGTGCTTTGGGCGGAGCTCCCACCTCCTCCAGCATCAGAGGACCCACACTGGGGAGAGGCCCTACGTGTGCAGCGTGTGCGGCAAGGCCTTCAGCCAGAGCTCGGTCCTCAGCAAGCACAGGAGGATCCACACGGGCGAGAAGCCCTACGCCTGTCACGAGTGTGGAAAGGCCTTTCGAGTGAGCTCAGATCTTGCTCAGCATCACAAGATCCACACAGGGGAGAAGCCACACGAGTGTCTCGAGTGTCGCAAGGCCTTCACACAGCTCTCCCACCTGCTCCAGCACCAGCGCATCCACACCGGGGAGAGGCCCTACGTGTGCGGCGTGTGCGGGAAGGCCTTCAACCACAGCACTGTGCTGCGCAGCCACCGGCGGGTGCACACCGGGGAGAAGCCGCACGCGTGCGCAGAGTGTGGCCGCGCCTTCAGCGTGAAGAGGACGCTGCTCCAACACCAGCGGGTCCACACCGGGGAGAAGCCCTACGCCTGCGGTGAGTGTGGCCGCGCCTTCAGCGACCGCTCCGTCCTCATCCAGCACCACAGCGTGCACACGGGTGAGAAACCCTATGAGTGCAGCGAGTGTGGCAAGGCCTTCCGGCACCGCTCCACCCTCCTGAACCACGAACGCATCCACACCGAGGAGAAGCCCTATGGCTGCTACGCATGCGGCAAGGCCTTCGTGCAGCACTCCCACCTGACCCAGCACCAGCGGGTCCACACCGGCGAAAAGCCCTACGTGTGCGGCGAGTGTGGCCACGCCTTCAGTGCCCGCAGGTCCCTGGTCCAGCACCAGCGGGTCCACACGGGTGAGAGGCCATTCCGCTGTGCACAGTGCGACAAGGCCTTCAGCCTGAAGGCCACGCTGATCGTGCACCTGAGGACCCACACAGGCGAGAGGCCCTACGAGTGTAGCCGCTGTGGCAAGGCCTTCAGCCAGTACTCGGTGCTCGTGCAGCACCAACGCATCCATACAGGCGAGAGGCCCTATGAATGTGGGGAGTGCGGCCGCGCCTTTAACCAGCACGGCCACCTGATCCAGCACCAGAAGGTACACAGGAAGCTGTGACCTTGGCTGCACGCGAACCTGCACTCGGGAACTTGGGCACCCGGCCCCAGGAAGCCTCCAGTCCAAGGGAGGTGCCCATCAGCATCACCAAGTATCACTGAGAAGGGAAGCACTGGCATGTCTCTGGAAGAACTTCAGACGATGCCTCATTTTTTTCTCTCAACTTCTTGAGGTTACACTGCAGAGTAATTACACAATTGTAGAGAATTTTGGTGAAGACAGTTACCATTCATTATTTAACATTAGTTTATCGGAAGTGAGGAAGTAAAGGAAGTTATAGCGTAAGGGTTACTGTCACAGTAAAAGTTCCTCACACTCCAAATAGAGGGTTTTTTCTTAGAACATTATATGCCTTTCCTAAATTCAACGACTGCTCTGATTATTGCACTTAAAATTAGAATGTTGGACTATATTTTCAGTATTCTGTTAAGCACTACAATGCTGTGTGGATAAAATGATATAAAAAAGATTGTCACTAAGTGTTGTAATGTATTATGGCTGAAAATCCTGTGTGTGTGGAACCACTTGTTTTGTATGAAAACCGGGTGGCAGGGGGGTGGGGGGGTGGAACTCTAAAGATTAATTAGTGAGAAATGATGTAAATTTAGAAAACCCTTTATCTATTCCTTTAACTTTTCAAGATCAGAAGGGATGTCCTAACTTATTAGTGAAGATTCAACTCAAAAATGGATCTTTTCCTCAAATCTTGTGCACAGAAATCATGGGAAGTCTTGGGCTTCTGGGCCCATGTAGGCTTAGGAGGCCTCTTCGCACTCAGAGCCCAGACCTCCCAGCTGCTACACCACGTGGATGCCTCTTTATACACTATGGTGTCTCCCAAAAATAGTGTTACTAAAAGATAGCTCTTTGACACATACTTTTAAAACAAAATTCTCAAGTAGCTTTTTGTTTAACCTTTCTGATATTTCTATTGCTATGACTGAGGGTTTTCTTTCATTTTTTACTCCTGGTTCCAAGAGAGTCTAGTATTCATTGTCGTATACTGTAATCTAGTTTATTCATAATTTTTAAAAGTTTTTTTCTCTCTATTGAGAACATATCAGCTTCTCAGGAAAACTCAAGGACCAGAGTGTTGATCCCTTTTTTTTTTTTTTTTTTTGGCTGTGTTGGGTCTTCGTTGCTGCACGTGTGCTTTTCTCTAGTTCTGGTGCATGGGCTTCTCATTGCAGAGCACAGGCACCAGGCGCACGGCCTTCAGTAGTTGTGGCCCACGGGCTCAGTAGCTGTAGCTCTTGGGCTCTATAGCACAGGTTCAGTAGTTGTGGCGCACGGGCTTCATTGCTCCACAGCATGTGGGATCTTCTCGGAGCAGGGCTCAAACCCTTGTCCCCTGCATTGGCAGGTGGATTCTTAACCACTGTGCCACCAGGGAAGTCCTAGAGTGTTGATCCTTAGGTCCATAGCAATCACTGATGCAGGTGAAAGCTTGTTTTCCCCTCTGCAGACACTGCTGAGAGGAGCTTACATCATTCAGGTGTTAACATGAGAGAGGAACTGAGATCACAGGGAAGCTACCAAACTTTTTGACTCAGTCCATGACTGGCATCTGACTCCCAGTGCTACTCAGAGCTGAGCCCACCACTACTCAGGACACAATTCCTAATCGTGTGGAAGTCAGAGTAAGGAACAGTCATGTTCCAAGACAAGGCTGTCCACTCTCACCACCTCTATTCAACATAGTACTGGAAGTCCTTGCCACAGCAATCGGACAAGAAAAAGAAATAAAAGGCATCCAAATTGGAAGGGAAGAGGTAAAGTTGCCATCATTTGCAGATGATGTGAATACTACTGGGTGGGCCAAAATGTTCATTCGGCTCTTTCTTCAAGATGGCTCAGTAGCACTTAATTGTTTTTAACTTCATTAAAAACAATTTTGTTAGCCTGTATGTGACAGCTGTCATATCAGCGTGCATTTAAAAAAAGACTTGGATCAAAAGTTGAATTTCTGTGTAGCCATTTTAATATTGAAGATGGAAGAAAAAGAGCAACATTTTCAGCATATTATGCTTTATTATTTCAAAAAAGGTTAAAACGCAACCTAAATGCAAAAAAAGGTTTGTGCAGTGTATGGAGAAGGTGCTGTGACGGACTGAACGTGTCAAAAGTGGTTTGCGAAGCCTTGTACTGGAGATTTCTCACTGGACAATGCTCCATGGTCGGGTGGACCAGTTGAAGTTGATAGTGATCAAACAGAGAACATTAATTGAGAACAATCAATGTTACACCACACAGGAGATAGCCAACATACTCAAAATATCCAGATCAAGCGCTGAAAATCACTTGCACCAGCTTGGTTATGTTCATCACTTTGATGTTTGCGTTCCACATAAGTTAAGCGGAGAAAACCTTCTTGACCATATTTCCCATGCCATTCTCTACTTAAACATAATGAAAATGTTCCATTTTTAAAACAAATTATGATGGGTGATTGAAAAGTGGATACTGTACAATAATGTGAAATGGAAGAGATCGTGGGGCAAGAGAAATGAACCATTACCAGCCACACCAAAGGCCAGTCTTCATCCAAAGAAGGTGATGTTGTGTATATGGATTGGAAGGGAGTCCTCTATTATGAGCTCCTTCCGGAAAATCAAACGATTAATTCCAACAAGTACTGATCCCAATTAGACCAAATGAAAGCAGCACTCATTGAAAAGCATCTGGAATTAGTGAACAGAAAACGCATAATCTTCCATCAGGATAACGCAAGACCACTAGTTTCTTTGATGACCAGGCAAAAACTATTACAACTTGGCTGGGAAGTTCTGATTCATCCGCCATATTCACCAGACATTGCACCTTTGGATTTCCATTTATTTAGGTCTTTACAAAATTCTCTTAATGGAAAAAATTTCAACTCCCTGGAAGACTGTAAAAGGCACCCAGAACAGTTCTTTGCTCAAGAAGTTTTGGGGGAGCTTCCCTGGTGGCGCAGTGGTTAAGAATCCACCTGCCAATGCAGGGTACACGGTTCAAGCCCTGGTCTGGGAAGATCCTGCATGCCGTGGAGCAACTAGGCCCATGTGCCACAACTAGTGAGCCTGTGCTCTAGAGCCCGGGAGCCACTACTGAGCCTGCATTCCAGAACTACTGAAGCCCACACGCCTAGAGCCCGTGCTCTGCAACAAGAGAAGCCACCACAATGAGAAGCCTGCGCACCACAACAAAGAGTAGCCCCTGCTCACCGCAACTAGAGAAAGCCCGTGTGCAGCAACAAAGACCCAACACAGCCAAAGGTAAATAAATTAAATAATAAATTTATTAAAAAACAAAAGTTTTGGGAAGATGGAATTATGAAGTTGCCTGAAAAATGGCGGAAGGTAGAACAAAAGAGTGAATACGTTGTTCAATAAAGTTCTTGGTGAAAATGAAAAATGTGTCTTTTATTTTTACTTAAAAGCCAAAGGCACTTTTTCACCAACTGAATATGCAGAAGACCCTAAAGACTCCACACAACAACTCCTAGAACTGATAACCCTAAACTTCATATGGAACTATAAAATACTCAGAATTGCCAAGGAAATCCTGAGGAAAAAGAGCAAAGCAGGGGAATTCCCTGGTGGTACAGTGGTTAAGAATCCGTCTGCCAATGCAGGGGACACAAGTTCCAGCAACGAAGACCCAATGCAGCCAAAAGTAAATTAGTAAATAAATTTATAAAAAAAGAACAAAGCAGGAAGCATAACCGTCCCAGATTTGAGACAATACTATTGGCTTGGCCAAAAAGTTCATTCGGGTTTTTCTGTAACATCTTATGGAAAAACCTGAACTTTTTGGCCAACTCAGTACAAAGCTACAGTAATCAAAACTGTGGTATTGGCACAAAAACCAACATGTGAGTCAATGGAACAGAATAGCCCAGAAATAGGCCCACACACCCATGGTCAATTAATCTTTGACAAAGGAGGCAAGAATATACAATGGTAAAAAAAAACATTCTCTTCAGCAAGTGGTGTTGGGAAAGTTGGAAGCATGTATATCAATGAAGTTAGAACACTCTCACCATAAACAAACTCAAAATGGCTTAAAATCTTAAACATAAGACATGACACCATAAAACTCATGGAAGAGAACACAGGCAAAACATTGCCTGACAAATCGTACCTGAGGCAGTCAGTCTCCCAAGGAAATAGAAATAAAAACAAAAATAAACAAATGGGACCTAATCAAACCTACAAACTTTTGCACAGCAAAGGAAACCATAAGCAAAACAAAAAGACAACATACAGAGTGGGAGAAAATGTTTACAAACAATCAACTGACAAGGGCTTAATTTCTAAAATGTGCAAACAGCTCATACAACTCTACAACAACAACAAAAAAAAAAACCAATTAAAAAGTGGGCAGAAAACCTAAACAGACATTTCTTCAAAGAGGAAATACAGATGGCCAACAGCCACGTGATAAAATGCATAACATCGCCAATTATTAGAGAAATGCAAATCAAAACTACAATGAGGTACCACCTCACATCAGTCAGAATGGCCATCATTAAAATGTCTACAAATAACAAATACTGGAGAGGGTGTGGAGAAAAGGGAACCCTCCTACGCTGTTGGTGGGAATGTAAACTGGTACAACCACTATGGAGAACAGTATGGAGATTCCTCAGAAAACTAAACATAGAACTATCATATGATCCAGCAATCCTACTCCTGGGAATATATACAAACAAAACTCTAATCTAAAAAGATACATGCACCCCTATGCTCATAGCAGCACTATTCACAACAGCCAAAACATGGAAGCAACCTAAATGTCCATTGACAGATGAATGGATAAAGATGGGGTCTGTATACAATGGAATACTATTCTGCCATAAAAAAGAACAAAATAATGCCATTAGCAGCAGCAATAGATGCAACTAGAGATTATCATACTAAGTGAAGTAAGTCATAAAGAAAAAGACAAATACCATATGATATCACTTATATGTGGAATCTAAAATACGACACAAATGAACCTATTTTTGAAACAGA